TGACAAAAGAAGATTGGTTTCCTTTGTTGGATGGTCGGTATTTTATTCTAGAATCATCATTGGCATGCACTGGGTACAGTCAGAATAATGTTTTTACCAACCTCCGCGGGCTTCAAACACTTTCTCATCTTTCTTACTCTAGCTCACAATGAATCTTTCCCCATAATTGCCAATTTATTTAGCATCTGTACAATGACATTAATTTTCTGGCTACTTGTTCCCATTTCTACTCTACACAGTCTTAAGTAACATAAAACGAGACTGGTTTTTGTCTCGGGTTTTTTTGTTGAATATTTAGTCAGTTGGATGATGGCTGATGGGTTGTGCAGTTTCCCCATGGGCCTGGTTCATGAAATTGCTCATCATTGCATTAGATAGAATCGCTCTTGTATATAAAGAAGATAGTCCAGTTCAGGAAACAGTTTTCGTTATCTGGATCTGCTACTGCTGCTCCTGTTGATAAATTCTCTTTCCTTACCAAGATGTGTATGTGTTGTCCCTTGTATCGGTTGCCTTTTAACTGCCTGTGATGATAGATCCATCTGGGGGCTTGAGGGGAGGGGAAGATTACTTCTTGTTTCTTTTTAATAAATGCAGGTGAGTCAGTCACTAAGGCTCCAAAATTGGTCCTTGTTTTTTAAGGACCTCCAAGTACAGATTGATTTCAAATGGCTCACACATGTGCAGGATTAGCTGCGAAAACTCATGGGGAGAAAATTTGTTTTGTTTTGTTTTGTTTTGTTTCATTTAAGTGCTAACAGTTGCACTTAGGAGCCCAACAAGAAGTACTAGACAAAATGTCTTTCTCGGGATACGTCGTCCTCCTTTTAATCTACTCTTGGGGCCATGAAATACTTTGAGCGGCTCAGAACAAAAATAGAACACCAGGTAGCGGTCGTGTCATTAATTATCCTGTTTTTGCTGCTGGAAACTAGAATTGTTTGAGATGGGGTTCAGATGAGCTCCCCTGACTGGAGAAAAGCAAGGTGGCAAGTTCATAATCATAATGTTAAATAATATAATGTTATGACCTACAGTAGAAGCATATGATACTATGTTATAAAAATAATCTGGTATGTCCTAGTTTGGTATCTTTCCATTTACCTTTGATAGAGTGTGTAAGCCTTTGGAACCTAAAACCCAAATTAAGACTTGAGAGTCTCCTGAATTCGGTGGCAAACAAAAATCCGCCAACTGAATTGAGAGACACAGAGCAGGTACGAAAATGGTGTGACCACGAGGACATGACATGCCACGCTTGGCCTCCTGATCCAGTTGTCAGAGAGCCACCTGATGCACCACTGCGTGTATGTCTGTTCCACTTTTGGGGGTCCATCCGGAAATGGCGTTAAATAGTAAGTGATAGCATAGGATCTGCAGCCTGCCAGGTGCAGCTGGTTTGAATTGTAGCTCTACCGCTAACTACCTGTGTGTACTCGAGTTACCATGTATAACTCGGGAGTCTCCATTTTGCCATCTGTGAAATGGGAATAAAACTATTACCTATGTTCATATGATGTTTAAGATTACACAGTGATAATGATGTACAACACGCACTACCTGGCCCTGGCCAAGTGCTCATTTAATGTTGGTTATTAACTTGAAGCCCCTAAATGATGCAAACCTTCCTAACAGGAAAAGATTGCACCTCTAGAACTCCCCCAGAAAATCATGTATGTTTTATTGCCTTGAAAGGTCATAGCTTGCTAGCCACGTTTTGCAGGCATTTATAAATGTTGCCCTTTTAGTGTATATTGTGGTTTAAAGGTAGTTGTCAATTAATTCCAGAGAGAAACCTAAGGGGTATGTGGCCTAAATCCTTGTGGCTTTTAATCGGCTCAGTGGTCCCCAGGCTCAGAATTGAGAGAAGCTGCTCCTTTCCTCTAGGTCGGTTATACTCATGGCATTTTGGTTATTGTTTGCCCCCAAAGCTCTTGGTGCTCCGTCTTCTGTTCTTGGAGCTGAGAGGGATCTTGGTGTTCAGAAGCCAGTGGAGTATGGCTCCAGGGTAATCGGCAGACGGGGGTCCGTTCTAGGGGGTCCTACTTTACCACTGTGGCCTGGAAAGTTCCAGCACAGGGCATACAGCCGTCTCTTTGCTTTCACTGTGTGTTTCACTGTGGCATACCAGAAGTTTCATAGTCTGACTGCTTCACTTCTGCAACATCCCCGAGAGCATCAGTACAAATAGGTCATAAAATGTGAATCAGACTTCCCCCTAAGTACAAGTCCTCTCAGGATACTAGCAAATTAACCCACGGCTATTTCCTGGGCCAATAATCAGTTACCCTCCCACGGGTAGAAACACCACGGATGCAAAAATCCCTTGGTTTCCTGTATTAACTTCCTCACTTTATTTTGGCGAAATTCAGGAAATTTTGAAATTAAATGATTTCTGAACTTGTGCGTTATCAAATGTCAGAGTAAAATCACCTGCATGCTGCATTCTTTCCATGCACAGTTTCAATTTCCGGAAGCTAATTTCTTCCTTCTAATTACAAGTACTCCAAGAAGAGCTAGTTTTTACAACCCAGCATGAGAGCAAGTAACTCCCGTTTCTTCAGGCTGATTTGAATGCAGAGGCTTCCTGAATCGGCCTGAATACAACTGCTTAAGGCTGGAGATAAATGGTCCCTGTTCTGTCACCATCATCATCATTGTTATATTATCAGTGCTAAGGGTCACTAGGGAAATGGTCTCCCGATGGTCAGACCCTGTGCTTGATGTTTCCAAAGGAATCTTGCCCTGGTGATAAGTAACATAGAAACTTGTTTCATTTGTTTTTCTTTTCCATTTTTTTTTTTTTTTGGTTTTCTGTAAAGAATAATATTTAAAATGTGGACATTTTAGCTGTGTGTTAAATGTTATTTTAAACTCACTAGGTTGATTTAGACGTATTTATCAAATCCAGGTGTACTTTTACGTATCTTGCTGTTTGCTCATGAAAAAACAAAACAAAAAAAGCACGTGTGTCTATTTGAGAGGATTCTGCTGTACCATAAATAAGTGGCTGGAGAGTCTTGCAAGACTGGGCTTTTCTGTTGTTGCTCTTTGCCCCTCACCCAAATAATTACCCTGGGAAAGAGGAGATGAGCATTACATCTCAGACAGATCAGGAAAAACATCTTATGGTGACCGTAGTGTTCAGAATTATCCCTTGACTCTTTTCCTAATTTTTCTGACCATGGCGCGAGCACTCTACTGCATTATTCTGTGGGTTCAGTTTCAATCAGCAAAGGGCCAAATCATGCTATTTGTTTTAGAAGCGAAACTTACCCACCTCCTGGGCCCCATCCCACGACCTCCCTCCCTCTCCAGAATTTCGTGCGTTATTAGGTTCTAAACTTGGTTCCTAACAAGTGTTGTGTAAAACAAAACAGAAATAGATCTGTTTCCCTTGTTCTTATATTTTTAAAATTCGTGAGGTTGGGTTTCAATTTCCTTAGCATAAGTTACATCGTGAATGCAACCTTACAGAACAGTCTACCTCCAGTCTTGCTCCCTCTTTGGAAATGGCAGTACTCTCTCTTATTTTTAATCTAAGGGCGTAGCGAAGCGAAGTGGTATCAGAACTCTATAGTACTTTTCTCTCCCCATCTCCTTCATGTTCAAGCCACCACATGGGAGCCATGGCGCAAAACTTAGCAGAATGTTGTACTGTCTGCCACTTCTTGATGGCTTATTTCACACCAGGAACTAGGTTAAGTACATGGCGTCACTTTCATTCAACCAGTACGATGAAGTAAAGTAGGTATTAGTGTTCACATGCTAAATGGGGAAGCTGAAACCTTGAGAAGTCAATTTCACATAAGTAGGAAACTGGGGAAACACAATATAAAGTAAAGTAGTGTGCTGTTCCATCATTGAAAATCAGCTATAATTAAGATACCAGGTTTTCCCTCTGCCTGGGAGATGCCCACGTCCATCTGCGCATGTATGGGGGGCCATAGGGATTACCACATGCTCCTGTCATACCTCAAGGAAGGTAGCAAATTATCATCCCCCTCCCTTCAATGTTCTGACCCAGGCTTGGCAAATATCCTTCTAAAATTAAGGTGGACGACGAGAAACAGAATTAGCCACCGAGGCTGCGTGATAACTGCCATATTTCCCAGTTAAGTAAAAGACTGTAACACCTGACATTCGAGACTAAAATGAAGAGGTATCTTGATGAGAATTTCATGCGTGCATTGAGTCAAATGCCTTCCAGTGTATACGTACTCTTTGAAAGAGAACAGAAGTCTGTGCACCAGTACCTGGATTTGCTTTCTATATGTTTTTGAGTGGTATTGTGGTTCTCCAATGAAAGGGACTTCTGCTCAATGTCTTTGTGCTCTTCAGTGCTAACAATCACAAGAAGTAGGTATCCAATAATTTAATATAATAACTACTTATTGCAGATTAAGGGCACTCCCATAGCTGTGTCTTGGAGCCCAGCTTTGAGCTCTGTACAGAATTCTCTTTCTTTGAGAGCATTGACACCTGGGGACTCGGTTCAGTTGAGGTTTTTTCTATATCCCATACATACACGCAGAATACTAGTAAGTTCTTTGTTAAATTACAAATCAACTACCTGGTGATACAGCTGGACAAGGAGTGTTCCAGAAGACTTTGGTTTTGACTTTAGGTGATAGTAATTTTCAGATGTTGATGCAAGCTTTTACACAAAGGACGACCAGGCCAGAATTGGGAGCCATTTTGTTGAGGAAACTGGAAATCCTCACCCTTTTAAAAAACTGAGTGACAGCCGACTAATCCCACATGATTTCCGAAATTCAAGGTTACATTTTCTGCCTCCCTCAGACTAACGTCACTTCTCCACGTTGAGAAAGAATCAGAGCGGCATTTGGCTTCTGTTCACCCCCAAACCCAAATCACTGACCCTTTGTTTTTAGTACTTTGCCATTTTGCTTTTGCTTTTTTAATTTGCTTGTGACTCTCTGCTTCCCCAGTCTTTTTTTTTTTTTTGGTACAATGATTCTTACCTTGTCTTTCCCCAGTCCGTTTCTGACCTGGAGAGACGTGCAGCATGTTATTGTCAGGACTTCCCGTGCGGGACATTTGAACGCTAATGACTGGAAAACCAATGCTGCTGGTTTTAAGGGTGAGAACTTCTTTCATATTCTGTCACAGGCAAAATATTTTTATTTTTCCCCCATTTTAAATGGAGAGCCGGAAGTAGAATCCCTCCAAAGAAACTTGAAATTGTGTGCTGACACACAGAGAGCTGGCTCTTTGAGTAACTAAAACGCAGATTGATTTTTTTTTTTTTTAAATTCAAACAGCACATAAAAGGCAGATTTCTTTGGCTTCCCACATCATAGGTCAATTTCTTAAAAGACAACCAACTTCCAAGTATAGTCGACCTATGGGGCTTCTCATTAGTTTGTGATTGCTGTCATTGGTTATCTGAGTGGTGTTTGTCACAATGTGTGTAGAACGTCCTCATCTTCTATAGTGATTACTTCCATTTCAGTAATGACTGGTATATTTTGTTCACTGTTAGTTCCTAGGCCATGCTTGCTTTGTTTTTGTTTTTGTTTTTTATTAAAATTCCACAAACCCCTAACTCTAAGACATTACTTTATATGAATGAAAAGTGCTTCTGAAGCTTTAAAACATACAGTCTTTATACAATTATGCTCATCATATCATAAGTGCTGACTGTTTTTCCCATGGCTGAGGATTATAGTTCCCTCAAAGTGTCTTACTAATGGTGGGCAGTTTGTTTATCATCATCCATAACATATGTTATAATAAAAAGAAAATACTTATATAAGGCAGATGTCCTAAAGTTTCACATGACTTAAATTTTAATCCACTAATATTGTTACAGCAAAGATTACTCTTGGTCATATCTGCAGACTTAAATTTACTCCCAAATAATGTTCATATCATTATATATCCCTATGGATGAAAACGAGTATCCCATACCACAGGGAATAGTGACTTAATAATTGAGGTTCTGGTCCCCAGATCTTTGGTAACATGTCGAATCATTCTGGGCAAGTCATTTAAGTATTTGGGGCCCTAACTTCCCCATCTTAAACATTTTAGAAGCTGAATAATATTATCTACGTATGATTTCTTAAATATGATTTTAATATATCTTTAGTGAACTATACCACGTGTATGCAAATATCCATGCTGGAAATGTAAAGTGTAATTTTTAAAATTACTTGCAATTATAGTCTCATGCTTAGCCAAATATACCAGATAACCAGTGTCATATAAAGTATTTCTTTGGTTAGCATCTTCACTGAAGACTTCACTCCATGTTTAGAAAAAGAAGAATATCCCTCTGCTTTTGAGTAGTATGAGACCCCTCTCCTTACTCTTAGACTATATAATGCAGCAGTGTTCAATGAGCTTTTAATCTAAAGAGTTGTAAATTCTTTTTGGGATCGCATTGTCTGAAGCCCAAATCGAGACACTGGATCCCAAAATTGCAGCTGTTACGCGTGGCATCAAAAATATGTGAAATTACAGTTGTCGGAGAGAACACAGGAGGTACTTAGCCATAGGTATGTTTCATTTTGATTTAGCCTCCGCACCCTCTCAGCTCTTACTGTCTAAATCCATGAGGCTGGGAGGTGGGTCTGGGGAGGGGGAAGAAGGGACCAAAACATAACCTTGGCTGGTTCAATGCGCTGCAGTGAACTTTTTAGCAGAAGGTTCACAGACTAAGTACATTGACCTCCATGAAGCTGAGGAATCAACTTTAACCCAAATAAAAGTCTTAGTTTTACTTATTCCTTTTTGGCAAGTTAAAAAGAGCAAATGGTTCTAATAAAAAACGCAACTCTTTTGAAAACCTCTGTTGGTTTTGGAGAGGGGGGAAACAGAGGATTTAGACTAACTCCCCAGATCCCAACCTGAGTCTGAAGGGGGCTATGCAGGGCTCTGGCAAGGAGGAAAGAGCATTTTACTCTTGCACGTGGCAATATTTAGTATAATATTTCACTCTTCTCTTAGCTTGCTGCCAAGAGTAACAATTAAAGTTCGCTTTTTCATAGATGAATTACCCTGAACAGTCTGGACTCCCAGTGGAATTGTTTTGTAATTTTGTTGATGGCAAGCCCTATATTTCATCTAAACATGATCATAATAAGAATAATTTTGTAAAGAGCTATATTCTTCCCTACCCTAAGCGTTACCATCCCCTCCCTGGTGTCCCACAAATAAAAGTGTATTAAGGCAGAGGCTCTCAGGAGAAGCCACATGCTTTGGGAAAGGAGAGGATGCAGGTCACTGGGGGTAGAGCAAAGATGGGCGACTTTTTATGAAATAAGAACCGAACAAACAAACAAAAATAGCTAATGCTTGGAAGGGCTTCATGCAACGAGAGCTCAGCGAGAGCTCGTATTTTAAATTAGGTCAGCCAGCTTTTGCAGGCCTCGCTTGGCAGGAACACAGGGCCACACACTTCTCCTTAGACAGGAGAAGCCAGAGGTTGCCTGCCTGCGCGAACAGGAGCCCATGATCCTGGTCGTGGCTGCTCTCTGCCCTAATGCAGAGTGAGGTGTGTGCCTGAAAGGAATCCCAACGCATCTGGGTTCCCCGGGGCTTGCCTTTGTGCCCTTAATGTTGAGCAATTTAAGTTGTTTGAAGAGTGTTTAAAAAAACAAACAAACAAACAAGAAAACCTGAGAAGAGTTTCACAGATTGCTGGGTAGGTGTACTTCCGCACTGGCCATCTCAATATCAACATGAGCATTTCCTTCTCTCATCAGGTAAAGCAGAAGCAGCTGAAAGTAGCAACCAATTCAGTATGGGGGTCTTGTCATCGATACGCTTGATAGTCATCACTGATAATTTCAGAGAAGCCAACATCCTGAAGCACAGTTTCTCACCAGACCCTGCCAAGTCCTGACATTTCTTTTTTTTTTTTTTTTAAAGATTTTTATTTATTTGAGAGAGAGAGAGAACATGAGGAGGGGGTGGGCAGAGGGAGAGGGAGAAGCAGGCTCCCCGCTGAGCAGGGAGCCCGATGCGGGGCTCGATCCCAGGACCCTGGGATCATGACCTGAGCCAAAGGCAGACGCTTAACGACTGAGCCACCCAGGCGCCCCAGTCCTGACATTTCTGCATGCACTGTCCTTACATTTCTTCAGACAACCATAGGTACTGCAGCTCAGGCAGAGAGTAGAACCAGATGATCTAGCAGCTAGACCGGTGGGGGCCTCTCCGCAAGGAGGACTCGATGCATTCTAATCCACATGTGTTACGGACCTGGAAAATGCAAGCGAGTCCCTCCAGCAGCAGCTGCTGACTTCCTTTTGACGGCACAGGCAGGCTGTCATTCAGGCGAGGAGGTTAGCCTTGAAAACCCAAGGAATGTGGCGCTCTGCTGACTCACCGGTGTGTTTTCTCCAAGGAAGGGATTACCCTGGAGTTGCATGCTGATGAGCTGGGTGCACAGAGTTTCCTCCTCTTTTTCTGTGTTCTCATTATAGTAACATCGGATAGTTAGATTAGCTCACGGTGAAGGGAGCCCCAAAGCTGGAAGCTACTTATCAATATTTTTATGCTAATGATACCTCAATTTTTAACAATTTTAATTGAACTAAGATTATTCTCTCTGCTTCATAAATAATAATAATAATAATCTCTTCTGGTATAGTTAAAAGGTCTTTTGCAGAAGATCTGTTTTTCAGAGTAAACATAGTCCAATGAGTACATACGTATGGAAACTGACTAAACAGTATTTGGATGGTTCATTGTGTATTGAATAATTTTGGCTAAATTTCATACACATTTTGACTTTCAACTTTCTCCAGAGATAAGTTTCTTTAAAAATAAATGGAATAAATATCATGCATTTATCAAAGAATCTCCTTGAGGTTATTCATGAGGATAGGAAAGTATTTGTATGAGGCCAGATGAACAGATGTGATATTTGCCACTAGAAAACTGAAATCCGAATTCCCGTATTTTGCTACCGATCAGCATTTGCAATGCCGGCAGATGACTTTGGCATTAAATCATTTATTTGGGTTTTTTCCCAGTGTTATTTCCTTCTCCTTTGATGCCTTCCCTTCCATCTTATGAATAGTCTTCTCTAGTTTTTTTTTTTTTTTTCCTTTTCTATGCTTTTTAATACCCCGTCCATGCTCCTCCTTGAAATGCACAAATCAGCTGTAGAACAAGCAAGGGCTTTTTGCCATTTGAGTGGTTTTCTTCACAGAACTTAATTTATGCAGTCTCTTCATTTATTTATTTACAAATACTTGCTGAGCACCTTCAGCACACCAGCCCAACACATGAAGTGCACCCAGAAAGGGGAAGCAAAAGGAAATGTCAGGGCGGCCCCATGGCATTGCCTACTCTGATCTGGCCACGGTATGATTTATGTACAGAAACAGAAATTTACACTGCACTTTTCTTCCCTTCCTCCAAGCCCAAACGATCTGCCAGGTCATGTTTATAAAATGTGTCGATGCAAATTTCCCTGGTCATGGCAAATGCCGCCTAACTTCAGCAGGAAAAGGCATCTGATGTAGTGACTATCTTTTGGGGCAAGTCACGGATATTTTGACCAGCTCTGTTTGTGCATAGAGGATACATGGACCAACCCCACCATGCTAAGGACTTTCATTCCGCATTCTTCTAGAATCCATGGCTCCTATCATTTCAGGAAGCACTTAGCTCTTTGTGATGATCCCCTCTGTTCTGCTTTAATCTGTGGAACGTGCAAATCCACCGCCCCCATCCGCCTCCCAGTTGTCTGGGCTGTGCCCTGCAGGCTGATCCTCCCCCCCCCCGCCCCCCAGTTCATACCTGTGGTTTGTGGATGCACTTAGAAGTACAATTGAATGCATGCAACGTCGGTGCTCTAGTTTTTTTCAAAGTGTCTGTATTTGGATTATATGACTGTATACAGTTAAACTCTCTTAAATTTAGGAACAGGAATAGACATCAGATAATAAATTAGGACCTTCTGTCATCTTTACTAGGCGAAAGAATGAAAAATATGTCATTGAAAATCAAAAATGACAACTAAGTGAGCGAGGTTACCACGCCTTCCATTTCACTGCCCTCCCAGACTATGTAAGTCTCTCTTTTTCTACCAGCATGTTGCTGAAACCTCCCCATCCCCACTGA